TTAGTTTAGAATTGAGAAATTTCTCCTAAAATCTTCTTTATTCTCAAACCCAACACAAATACATGAGAATTTTCATGCAATTCCGTTGGAAACATAACCTTACTAAAGATTCTCAAAACAAAAGAATCAAAAGCCTCAATTTTTGAAAAGTTGAACTCAATATCAAGAACTATGAATGGATCCTTTAGATATAATGATTTCTTGACTAAATTGAGATGTAGGGCTCATGGGCGAACAAGTACAACACTGTGAGAAGCCTTACATACCTGAAAAGAACAATGGTTCTTGGCGAAAATTGCTGGAAACTTGAGGACACTTGAAAACCTAGTTTTTTCTCCTCTTGGAACTTTGCCGTAATTCCTTTAAGTGATAAAGAACGTGAAAAGATTGTTTAAAGCTGATTAGACCCTTATTTGGGTGAAGAAAAACGTGACTTAGGTTTAGAAGGGATGGGAAAAGACCAAACTACCCCTCTAAAAATGATTGAGGTGCCTTAAAAGAGAGGCCTCACCAACATGGGCATAACTTTTTATTTTGAGATCGAAATTAAGCAAACTTGATGGATTTGGAAAGAGGACTCAAAAACCTTTAATTTGATAGGTCACGAGCCATCTAATTTTGTATGTGCTAAGAGATATGATCGTTTGAAGTTGACCCAAGTAAAATCTCATATGGAAACTCAATCGTTATGGAAGCTTTCAACTCAACTCTGTGCTAAGGGATTCTAGTGACCTTAATTTATATCCAAAACCATTCCCACACTAAAGAATTGACCTTAACACCTAAGAACAATTAAGAATCACTCGGTACAATCTTATTTACAAATGAAAAATGGTTTGAGTCTTAACTTAGAAATTTTTGGGATGTTACAGATTTTGGGGCCAATTTCAAATATATACAATAAAATAATTAATTTACATCAAACATAGTCATGTTTTATTTACATAAAAATAGTCAAAAGTCATAGGAAATATACATTGATTATACAATACAGCTTGTCAAAAGTTATAAAAACTATAAGCTGACTATAATATATAGCTTATTTATACATGAACTATACACTGACTATACATTATGATAAACTCAAAAAACTGAATATAGTTGTCACTCCCCGATCTTACACCATGGACGTGGCCGGCACTCAAGAACCATTGTTGGTCCCTAAACAAACCCTTGAAATGGCTAACTCTTTAGCGGAAGACTTAACTAAGCAATATGCAGTTTTAAACAAAATTCGATCATTTAAACTCAAAGTCAATACTCAACTCAAACATCTAAAAATACTCAATGTAATAAACATAATAGTTGTAAAACAGTTCAATTAAAACTCTGAGGACATCTCGAATCTAACTATCTATGCCTCTAATAGTAAGGTAGGTGTCGGGACAAGACCTATAACATCTCAAAGTTACTAAATTGAAAGTAAATGTGAAGTCCACTTGAATACAAGGAGACTCACCAAAAGCTATCAAAAGTGCAAAGTGATCTCAATGAAACGTGTGTTGATGATCCTGAACATCTGTATCTGCATCATGAAAAGATGCATGTCGGATGATATCAGTACATTGAATGTACGAGTATGTAATATAGTCGAGATGAAACAACTAAAAGAAATGATTGTAATAGATAAAGATATACTCAAGCTGAATGTGAAGAAATAAAGGAACAAAATCATTTAAAACTTTATAAGTACTTAGTCATTCTCTGAAACTCAACATAATAAGTGATATAGCAAAAAAACACTTTAACTCTATTTGGGAGATTCTCTAACCTACAATAGTCACTATGAGCTATGTGATTATACAACGTATTGTCCACACTGCCAGAACTGTCATAAAAAGTATAATCATTTACCCAGGTGGCAGACATGGTTTATGGGCATTTTGAGTTATCTGAATTCATCCTCATATCGGTACTCAATGCTACTCCCAATAATATACTCATGCTCAAATGTATATATACTATTTCTATGTTTTGAGGTAATTACTCAAAATAACTTCTTAAAAGATGTAACAACTCTGAAATATTTCTGAACTCATAAATTCTTTTTAGAAATCAAAGTTTCTCTTTTCTCACTGTAAAAATGATACGTTTGGAAATACTTAGTTCCTTTATACTCTTTCTCAATCATGTATAAAACTCTTCTCAAAACTCATATTTGCTTTCTCATAAAATTTAGTTTAAGACCATTGTTTGGTTAAAAAGGTTTCTCAATAAATGCTCAATTATAACTCAACAATAGGATTCATGCTTAAAAATAAACATGAACAATCAACTCAAAATCTCAATGCAAGATATAACAACTCAATAATTAAGAAATAGAATTCAAAACTCATCAACGAAACTCATCTAAAAAAAATTCAAAACTAAGGATGTGACCCTAGATTTTTCTTTACTGATAGAAAGTAGATGTAGGGCATGAGGACGAAGTCAGTCCATAACTATGATAGCCTTACATACTTGGAAAGAACAAAGTTCTTGGCGAAATCGACAAAATTCGAAGAACGCTAGAAAACTCTACTTTTTCTCCTCTTGAATCCTTGCTCTAAGTCTTTGAAGTGTTAAATAACGTAAAAAAATGTTTTATCACTATTTAGACCCTTAATTAGGTTAAAAAAAGTCATGGTTCAGGCTTAGAAGGGGTGGAAAAAGACTAAACTATCCTTCTTAAAAACTGACAAAAATATTCTACGAATCCATCTATGATTCGTGGTTTGTTCTACGGACCGTAGATCCCATCCGTGGAACTTATATTGAATTTTAAGGCTCAACATTTCATTCTATGAGACCCGTATAAGTTTCTACAGACCGTAGAATGAATTCATAGGAATCGAATCTCAAAATTCAAACTCTCTAAAGTTTTTGACGGTTGACAATACGGGCCGTAAATCAATCTACGGCCCGTAAAATGTATCCGTAGTTCACAGACTCAGAAAACTCTAATATGACAGTCTATGGTAAAACAGTCATAACTTTTTACTCCGAACTTGAAATGGGGTAAACTTGGTGGCGTTGAAAAGAGGACTCAAAGACCTTCACTTTGATAGGTTATCAGCCACATAATTCATTATTTTCTGGGAGATATGATCGTTTGAAGTTGACCTAAGTAGAATCTTATGTCAAAACTTAATGGGTAAGGAAACTTTCAACTCAACTTTGTGCTAGGGGTTCTTGTGACCTGAGTCATATCCAAATCCATTCCAACACACATTTACACATATGAGCAATTTAAGAATCACCCGATACAATTTTACATGCAAATAAAAAATGATTCAAGCCTTAGATTAGAAATTTTCGGTGTGTTACAATAGCTTAACTATACATGAAGTATACATTGACTATAACATGAAGTATATATTAACTATTCAATTTTGATCAACTCAAAATCACCTCTAAATAGTCTCAAATTTTACATATGAAATTCTCTCGATGTTTTGAGTCTTTCAATATATAATTCATTCAAAATGACTCACGTTTGGAGCATGTCAAATTTTAAAGAATAAGAGAAAAGAAGAAGAAAAAAGAAGAAAAATCCCAATGCATATGACAAAAAGAAGAAGAACGCATATACTTTTATGGTAGAAATAAGAAGAAGAAGAACACAAATGACTGAAAGAAGAAGAGGAACACATATGACAAAAAAAGAAGAAGAAGGAGAAAAACGCAGATGGAATTCTCTTGATGTTTCGAGTCTTTCAATATATAATTCACTCAAAATGACTCACGTTTGGAGCATGTCAAATTTTAAAGAATAAGAGAAAAGAAGAAGAAAAAGCCTAATGCATGACAAAAAGAAGAAGAACGCATATAATTTTTTATGGTAGAAAAAAGAAGAAGAACACAGACGACAGAAAGAAGAAGAGGAACACATATAACAAAAAAAAGAAAAAGAAGGAGAAAAACGCTGATGGAAGCAAAGGGATCGGACTTTCACTTCGGCTGCACGAAATAAGGTCGAGTGATCATTTTTTGTAAATTTAATAAATTGGGATAAAAATATGAGATGTAAAATTTATGGACTAACATTTTGTATAATTTACTCTTGATTTTTTTTATAATCGAGAAATTCGTATGTGGTTCGTACTTTGAACCAAACACAGTCTTCTAAACTCGGTGGATAATGGGCCTACCCCTCTATCTTTCTCCACTTAAATACTGAGTTTCGAATTTACCCTTGATGTTATTGGGATAAATTTAATTGTAATGAATATTGAACACAAGTATGCGAAGGATATTGTTGATATAAATTTTTATAAAGGTTGTGTTTGGAGGCTATCCGGAGGCCAACATGGCCATAGACACTGACAAAGGTAGGCAAATTGCAATAGTTTTATCGACCACAAGTATTGATTAAAATTATGAGTTTCCGTGTTTAGTTAGAATTATTCTTAATTAATTTAATTAAAAATATTCTAAATTTGAAAACACAACATTAATAATTTTTTATAATATTAGGTACAAATTTACAATTATTTAATATTATATTTAAAATATCAGTATGTATCTTCAATACCTAGTAAAATTTTATAATTTTTTTCATATAGACTTTTTCTCTATCTCGAACGTCTAATTGTTGATTAAATTTTTATATTTACAATGTAAAATCTAATTATGTAAGTATATTTGTGCAATCAAATAGTACGTAAATAATTACATTGTAATTATGTTAAGATAAACAGATGAATTCTAATGTTTACTTCTGTTGTATAATTTTAATCTATATAATTAGTATCCTAATAATTATATCAAATGAGGTGATTTTCCAATGAGCCTTTAAGAAACTATAATAAGGAGATCATTATTATTATTATTTTATAATAAAATACTTTTGATAAAAATTCAAATTTTGAAAGTTCCACCAAATGAGCTTTTAGTAGGAACGCGACGGTTCCGCTCCTGTGTCCGAAACCGGACCCAAACAAGGATCCGACCCGTTTGGTAAATAACTTACCCTAAGGTAAAGCAATTAGGCGGGAAAGTTAAATCCCTTAAAGAACATTTTTCACACTGCAATACCAATTTTCTCTCAAAATCCGATTTTTTCTCATCAACTTAGCGGTTTCCGACGAAAGAGATATACGTCGTAGACATGGAAATGGTAGACACAGCGCTGGAGCCGACGTCGGAGATAGAACTCGCACGTCGTAAGCTTCGTGAGCGGTGGGAGTTGGCCTCCGTTCTTAATTTTCTCACCGTAAGATTTTAGCATTTCGCAAAAAGTTTAACCTTTTCTTCAGAAATCGCATATCCTATGTACACTTTCTTTGCTTGCTTTTATGCATAAAAACAACTTTATATATCTACCTAATGTGGGTGGGTAATTGTACACACGTAAAATAAGTGTGGATATGATGGATCGTTCATTCGTTTTTTACATGCTTGTATATGTACGTTTTTGAGGTGTTTAAGGGTTTTGTGAAATGTGGATATGGTTTTGTGGTTAATACATTTGAGTTTCTGGGGGTACGTGCTGCCATATGTGTGTGTATGTACCGATTCAAATGCATCATACCGATATTGTTCTGACAATTGTGATGAGTTGTAACATTGGTTATATTAGATTTGTGCCTGCTAGAATAAGTAGTGTTATGGTTTTTGTTCTTTTTTTGTTGTGCATATTATTGGGTTTAATGCAATATTTATTGTATATACTTATAGATTCAAAAAACAACAACATATCTAGTGTAATCCCACGCAAGGGGTCTGGGAGGGTAATGTGTACGTAGACCTTACCCCTACTTTGGGAGGTAGAAAGACTTCTTCCAATAGACATTCAGCTAAAAAAAGAACAGTTAAGAAATTATTTTATCTTATAGGTAAAATTGAAGTAGGTATTTGATGATTTTGCCCGGCAACTAACAATTACGAATTTATTTTATTAAATGTAAGATTACAAATGTATTTCGAAGGTTTTGCTCTGCAACTTACAAATAAGAAAGTATTTTAATAAATGTAAGATTACGATGACTATGAAATGTTGACCTGAAAGTGGACATAGTTTTCCATTGAGTGTAAAATTGCATATATGTATTTGAATTATGTTTAAATGGGTTATGCAAGCTTGCTTTTTCTTTCTGATACTTGTTCATGTACTCTAAAGGGCACTCTGCTATTTATACCTTTGTACATCATATAAATGTGTTGTATGCAGTTTGAAGGTACTTGAAATTCTTTTAAAATGTTTATAGGTTTTTGAGCCAGTGCTTCAAATCAAATTGAAAATTTCAGCTGAGGAGATAGAAACTGCCCTCATTGAGCCAAATGATAATCTTGCTCAGCTGCATATAATGCTTCTGAAGGTTTGGCTTCTACTTTACTGTTATATTTGTTACTCTTTGTGTGTATACAGCTATGTTTTTGCGTTGTGATTTCCAACATCTTTTTGATCTAGCAGTAGCCTTTAGTTCTCTAATAGTACTGCAAAGCGACTTTAAAAGAGAGAATGCACTTACAGGATATCAACCATCTTGTCCTCAATATTTTGAGTATCCAGCCAAAAACATATATGGAATTCATGAGCAGCCGCCATGGAAAGAAAATAGACAAGGTTACTTCCCATATCTGGTACACCATTCCGGCAGGCATTTGGTGGACTATTTCAAGGGAAAGGAACCATAGAAGTTTTTAAAGCAAAAATTTAAATGTGATTAGCCTTTATCATAAGTTTTTACTTTTGTTATCCTTTTGCTGCATGCTGGCTTTTGTACCTGATGTAGACACTATTTTTGATTGCGTCAGCTCATTGTTGTTCTTGTGAGGTAAATCCTAGGACGATAGTACACCACCAGCACCTTCTTAATGCAGGTACACAGCAATGAAAGTTTATCCTTATCCAAAAATCAATGAGTGCTTTATAGAGACCTTAACACTAAGAATAAAGAGTCTGCTGGGATTGACTTTTGGATTTTGACTTATAAGCCAAAAGCCACAAGTTAGGATTTCTAACGTATGGCTTTGGGCTTATTTTTATGATTTTAGCTTAAAACTCTTTTTAAATTTACCCAAACACTCGAAAAGGGCTTAAAAAATATTTTGGCTTAAAAGTACTTAAATTAAGTCAATCCACAGGTTCAAAGCCTTTCTTTCATCACCAAATGAAACTGTCTAAGGTGAGGATCCAAGACTGATGGGTGTATAATCAGGTGGTACTTCTTAATTGATCACAAATCGCTTGTTATCGTGTTGTATTCCTTTTGCAAGATCAGCTTTAGATGGAAAAAATCAAATGAAGGGGGAAATGGAATGTTGGATTTATTCTCCCTGTAAAAAAATTGAAGACAAAGAGAATGAGAAAGCTATGAATCTGTCTGTGATAGAACTGAGCAGTTATAGAATTTAAAGTTGTCCCTGCATGTTAGAAGGAAGTATTGGTGCTGGAACTGGAGGTTCAGCTATAGTTCATTAACTTGGACGGTGCTAAAATTGACTATACTCTTTCTTTTCGTTCAGGTATCTTCCATGTTGACTAATTGTCATTCTTAGTTAAGTTCGTTGATTTCTGTAAATTTTAGCTGCAGCTAACAACCAAAAAACCTGTTAAATTTTTTAAATGTTATGCTAAGACTTTATAGCCATGAAATCATGGGGTGTCTCAGACTGAGTTATGATGGTGGTTATATTTTTGAGGGATCTTTATGCTATTTGTGTTCAGCATACATCTGTGTATTTTCTTCTTCATGCATGCTTTTAAGATCAATTTGATAGTTTCTGCTATAAATCTAATATTGGACAAAACAATGCAGCAATGATCTTGTTCCAGGAGATACGATAAAGATAAAAATTGATTTCCTAGATTTGTCATTGTCGCCTTTGGGCCAATTTGATATTTTTTCCTGTTATGGGATTGAAAAGATTAGTAAAAAACGGAGCAAATAATCTTGTTCCTTGAGATATTGCAAAGGCAAACATGCATTTTCTATCTTCACTGGATGGGTTTGTATAAAATGTCATGCATGTTTGGTGCAAATATTTTGATTACTAGGCTGGCAGTTTTCCTCTTACATGCAAATCGAGCTCTATATTTTGAGGTTAAGTTTTTGCTTAGAATACCCACCACTAAAGAAAATACATGGAAGTAATATTTTGTACTCCAAGATGTTAATTTGATTTGATGAGATCAACACTACTTGATTCCAGTGTTGTCAAAGGTGCCCTTTAAGCACGCTTAAGCCCTGAAGCAAGACACAAAATATGTTGAGCGCTTCGCGTCGCTTAGTGGGCCCTTCACTGTTGTTATTAAAACTCTAAGGCACATTGTTGTTATCAAGACTCTAAGGCGTGCGTTCCTTTCTAATGAGCATAATCCTGAAGAGGCGATGCTATACAATTGATATTTACCTTTATTATAATTTTTTTTCAATTTCTTTGCCTATATATTTGTCATTCATGCTTATAAGTATTAGTCTTGGACTACACACATATTTGTATTTTTTTCTCCATTTGTACTTTTCTTCATTAAAACCCACACTTTATCTGTTCTTTGTGCTTGAAGACTCGATGTACCTTAGAGGTTTTGGCTCTTTTTGCTTTTGATACCTGATCCCTACAGACATTGTCTTTGCTGACTCAGTATGACATATATCAATAACATGACCTGGGAACTATATCATATGGCAGCTTGGATCATCAAAAAGCAGTTTGCAATTGATACTGCCAATTTCATGACTTTGCATAGCCTGCTGGCATAAATTTTTCATAGACAATGGACCGACACATGAAAGATAATTGATAAATGGGTGCTCTTAGTGGTGATAGTCGATAACATTTTTGCATTCTCAGAGGATAAGATCACTTCATGAAATTATACATATGCTGATCGGCAGCGAAAACTGGCTAGTAACCTTTTCATTTATTGGGAAATAAGCTATATCTTTATCAAAAAAAAAAGAAGCTGAATAATAACCAGAGCTTTTGGAAAGAAATAGCTCAAGCAAATCTTTTGAACTTTCTTAGAAGGGAATGTATACTAATAACTTGTATAAAATTTACAAGTTGTCTTGAGAAGGTGAGCAGTGCATTTAGTGTGAGTAACTATGCAAGAAACTCTTGGCTAAGTTTTCTGTCAAAAATATTTGTCATACTTCTGTTTTTGTCCCAAATTGTTGTTCACTTTCCTTGAACTGAACATTCTACTATATTTGAGTAACATAGAAATTTTACAGGGCCCAATTTTATACCTTCAACTTTATCCTCTGTTATGTTCTTTTCCAATGCAAATGTCAAACTACGACTCCACATTTTTCTCACTAATGCTACATTTGTGACAAGTTAAAAGTGGAGTAGAAAAATGGGTTGGAGGGAGTACTCGAAAGTTTTATGTCCCAACTTATTTTCATGTCCAAAATTTCTCTTTGAAAGTTCCCATTCTACTTTCAAGTTAAAAAAAATTGCATTCCTTTCCTGTTGTAAGATGCACTCTGATTTTATAAACTTGCTAATTATTTTTTCACTTTCTTCTACTAACACGGTTATTTCTCAGGGGATACCTCCTGTGAATAAACTACTGAAGGATTCTGATGGATGGGTGATGGCACTTAGCAAGAAACTTGAAATGTGGTGGCCATGGGTAGGTGATTCTAGCTATTGACTGATATGTGCTTTGATTCAAGAGTGAAGATTTCATTCCACTCCTTTTGGCATTTCATTGCAGGTTGCAGAAGGGAATTTCCCTTTGACTGCGAAAAAAGGGTACCAAATTTTTCCCTGTCCTCCCTCCTTCCCAAAGAAATGAAACTACTCTGAAAAGTTTACTTGGATGAAAAATATGTCTTCAACTTTTGTTTTTCATTTTTCAGAGAGGAGATGTCCACATACAAGGCACTCAACCCGACAACTCGCCTGCTTGTCCTTAAAGCACTCTGTGAAATTCGAGCTGATGTATTGCATTTGTGTTTCCCATTCCTTCTTGATTTACTGTGATTTTCTCTAGTGCTCACTCTTCTGCATCAACATGCAGTAACAACAATCAAAAGTTGGATGAAACAATACATGCTGTTGATCTCTCTTTAACATATTAATAAATATTGCTTTTAGTGCTGTTCACAAACATTTTTTTATCTTTTCAGCAAAGTGACACCATATCTTACATTAGTGATGAAACTAAAAATAGAACCGATTCTACTGCTTTCCGCAAAGAGAAGCTTGGGGGCAATGGAAATGAAGTTTCATACTGGTAAGTTCTGAATGCATACCATTAGTCATTAAGTATATGCAAGTATGCTTTTGACAGCTCGACATTTCATGACAGGTATGATGGGAATGAAACTCTTGGTCATAGATTATACAAGGAAGTTTATCAAGTTGAGTCCATGTCAAAAGTAAAGGACAAGAAAAGCATATCAGCAATCACTTCTCAGTGGGAGACACTTGCTACCACTTTTGAAGAATTTCAGAATTTTGTGGTAAGGCCACAGTTCTCTCTTTAATATAACTGTATTTTGTGGTTAGGCCACAGTTCTTTTTAGTTCAACTGTTCAATAGACATCACATTCCTATTTGATATCAATGATAGGAGAAGTTCTCATCAAGTCAAGTTAAATGGGAAGCTGATGTGGGCAAGGCTGTTGAAGCTCATGCTATTCCTGCTCTTCAGAAAATTCAGAGGGTTAGCATCATTCAGACTGTTTATATGAGTTATCTTATTTCTTTTGGTTCTATTAGCTGAGGTTTCCAAGATAATTTATGCAGATTCTGCTTTCGTCATAAGTTCTTGATGCCTATAGGTGTTTTCCTTTTACAGAAGAAAGATAAGGCACAGAAGCGACAACAAAGAGAACAAAGGCATGTAGAAAGCTTAAGAAACCTTGCAATTCCTCGTTCTTGCCGGATTCGTAGGCCAGTCAATTACACATGTGGTATATATGAATTTGTTTTGTTAATCAATGTTTTCTGATTCTGATCATTGTGAGTTGTGACATTTGCAATATTAGGGAATTTTATTTTTGAGAAAGAAATAAAATTCCCTAGAATTGCAATTGTCATGTTTCCTGTTTAAAGCATGATTTTAATACATGGGATTGCCTAAATATGAGTTTGATATGATATAAACTTCAAATCATGTTGGAGCATATCAGTGAGACTTTTATATGGGCATGGCACATAAGGAGGGCATGGAGACCTTCGGAAATATTTTCAGCATAATCAGATAGTATATAGTTTCTGAATGATTTTCTTTTTATGTTCCAAACTGTGGATGCTTATGCAAGTGCAAATTCATCTGCAGATGATTTTGACAGAGCAATCAAAGAGGCCATAGATGTAACAAAGTAAGTCTTGCTAGTATGTCCTTGTTTCTTCATGTCTTGGGTTATTTCGTAGGTACAGAGTTTCTCTGCATGTCACTCAATCAACTGCAGTCATCCGACATAAAGGAAAATCTTACAATAATAGTTGACTAGATTTTAAATGCTGTCAAACTGAGTTTCTGGTGAATGATTGGGCCATTGGAGGTAGCTTGATCTGATTAGGTTGGGGAACTCCCAAAAATTACTAGGATTTGTTGCTGAATCTGTAAGCCCATCACACCTGCAATGTGAATCTAATCACTTTGCCTTACACCACATGATGTCCTGTCATTTGTGGACCTTATTTTGACACTAATTATGACTTTATTATCAATAATTTATTATTGTCCATTGCATCCAATGAAAAGAGTATGACTTAGATTGCCCAAAATTGAATGAACTCATGCTGGAACTTATCCAGACCTACTGAAGTGTTTGACCCCCCTGGCCCCTTAACTGCATTCATCTTAATTGGCAGTAACCACCCGGTACATAAAGTCTTGTCAACAACAAAAAGAAAGTTGTGAGCATAAACTGTCTACTCAAGCATATGTAAACACTGTGCAACCACCTATGGTTGCAGTAATGATTGGCAGTTTCCATTTTTCTTATTTTTTTGAAATTCTTCCAATTGTTTTCATGTCAAAGCTTGTTGCGACTTTAAAATCATTTCATCTACATCCTAGCTCTCTTCCATTTGTGGCACAATGAATTTTGTCCATTACTGATAACCTTGGTTTATTGGCAAATAATTTCTGGTTTAGCAAAAGGAAGGCAACTGAAGACCCAACAAGTAAAACTAGACTGAATGAGCATGGCCCTAGGAATGAAACCAATTTGCTGGACTCCTCTCCTGCATCTAACTCAATAAGCAGTGATGCAGCAGACAGTGAATCTGAGAGTGACAGGCCTCAAGAAAGCAATGAAGATGTCGATGATACCAGTGATGAGGTTGATGAAGCTGGTACTGACTCAATGAAGGAAAATGGTCAGTTATACCACAGGCCAAGCAGTTGTCGCCACAGTAAGAGACTTGCTGGAGTGACTGGCTATGCTGTTCCAGAAAGCACTCATATAGGTGCGAAATATAGGTTGAGGCAGAGACCTAGCATTAATACAGCTGCTAAATCTGTTGTCATTCCTGATTCGGAAGATGAAAATTGATCAAGATGCACTTGCAACAGGAAGGCATGCCATGAGAACTGATCTATGTTTTGGTGCAGTTTTGTCGATTATCCATCCAAACCAAATGGAATATAGGTTGGCAAAAGCAAATCAGTTGCTACCACCATAATCATAATTTTGTCCCTGTAGTAATAGCTAGCAACATGACTTCAGAAGATTGTCTGTTAACTTGTGTAAGGCAGCAAGTTCACTTAATGCTTCATTAGTTTTTTGTAAAGTCACTTAAGTCAAGTGCCTATAATGCATTTCATTATGGTCAATATGTTTCTTCTCTGCTTGACAGCACTTGTGCAATCTCAAGAGAAATGAAAGACTACCCGAGGTATCAAGTGTTGTTGCAAATACGAATGCATTCTTTTAAAAGAGAAAAAGTACTTCTAGTTAAAACAAACTGTCTGGCACTTGCTAAATTTCAATAAAAATCTTAAAGGTAAATAATAATTTACAATCACGTCTACAAATTAGCTAAAATCAACTGAAGTAAGCACTTCTTGTACCAATTCAGATTCACATAATTGCAGTTAGCAGAACCTCTTGTCCGCATAATTCAAATGTGATTGGACATTACTATTGAAAACACTTCAATCTTTGAGGTACAGAATATTCAAGTCCGGAGAGCTTTAAGATTTCAGTATGTCAAATTATTTTTCTTTTATGGAACTTTAGGTGAGAAATATTATATTTCATATAAGATTCAAGTAATTTTCTTAGAAGGAACTTTAGGTGAGAAATATTATATTTCATATAAGATTCAAGTAATTTTCTTAAAAGGAACTTTAGGTGAGAAATAATATATTTCATATAGGAGTCAAGTAATTTTCATGTAGAAACTTTTGGCTCCAAAAATATTTCACCTTTGATTTCTTTTTTCCAAAACTATCAGTTTGAAAAGATTTTGAGAAAGGAAGTATAAGTGCAATGAAAATTTAAATTAGAACATAACGTATGTTAGTGAAATAATTTTTGCATCACTGATCAATGTACTCTATTAATCATGAGTTTATTTATTACTTTAAGACATATTTATTGATTTATAAAACACATAAATAAATAGAATGTATATTTATTAAAAAGAGTTAAAAGGCAAATTATTAGAAAAAAAGAAGTAACACTTTTAGTCTGTAACGGAGTTATTATCTTAATTAAATACATGAAATAAAATACACAACAAGTCAGGATGGCCGAGTGGTCTAAGGCGCCAGACTCAAGTTCTGGTTCTCGTAAGAGAGCGTGGGTTCAAATCCCACTTCTGACATTTTTTATTTTTGCATTTTTTTCCTGTTTTCTTTTATTGTTTTATTATTTCCATTTTAATTTATGATTCAGCCCACATTACATTTTGCAATTTTTTTTTCTTGTTTTATTATTTCTATTTTAATTTAGAGCAACTTTCACATATAGCAAACACAAAATTCATATTTGTATGCTATAAGAAACTTTGCATAATTGCGCTCCATAGCAAACATAAATATATATATTTCGCTATACATATACAAAAGAAAGCAATTGTATAATCTGCTTTGGTATACATATACAAAAAGATCAATTGTATAAAGTGAGAGAGACGAGTGAGAGAGTGAGATCTGGGAGAGGGGAGAGAGGAGAACGAAAATATATGTATATATACAATTTTCAGGAATTTTATACATTTGCGTTTTTGTATAAAGTGAGAGAGACGAATGAGAGAGCGAGATCTGGGAGAGTGTCGAGCGAGATCTGGAAGAGGGGAGAGAGGGGAACGAAAATATATGTATATATACAATTTTCTCTCGCTTTATACAAACACAAACACATTTTATACACTTGCGTTTGTATAAAAAACGAGAGAGGCGAGGGAGAGAACGAGAGTGGCGAGCGAGATTCACCAGGAGAGAGGTTAAATAGCAATAGTTTGCTATGAGGTACAATTAAATCAAACTATATTTATAGCATTTTAATTTGAATTAATAGTTTGCTATTATATACAATTTTATGATTCAGCCCACATAGCACCGGTAAAATGAGCCATATTTTAGTAACCCGCCCATATTTTAATGGGTTGGGTGATCGATTTTTTACATGGATATTACCCATAAAAATATAGGTAAAATATGGGTAATCCCACTTCTGACATTTTTTATTTTTGCATTTTTTTCCTGTTTTCTTTTCTTGTTTTATTATTTCTATTTTAATTTATGATTCAGCCCACGTAGTGCCGGTAAAATGAGCTCATATTTTAGTAACCCGCCCATATTTTAATGGGTTGGGTGAGCGATTTTTTACATGGATAAAATATGGGTTGATACCCATATTTAACCCATAAAAATATAGGTAAATTATGGGTAAAGTATAGATTAGTCAAATGTGTTAAGCTTCTAACTTTTATTCATGATATCACTAAAAATATTGTAATTTCTCTTGCTTTTTATGTTCTTCTATAGAATTAATTATTTTTCACTATGATTGAAAAAGTGAAGTCTTTGACCCTCCAAAAATATATATTTTAAATGTACATTTCTTTTGTTACTTATAATTATATATATATTTTTATTTGTTTAATTTTATATTGGATAATAAATACATAGTGTAAAATAAGCAAATCATGTATTAGTATTGACATTGCTTAAAGTGCATTAAGCATGTTTTAGTCCTAAAATGCAAATATTCATTTACTTTGAAATTAAAAATATTTTCCCCTTGTTATTACAAAATTTAATTTTATATTGAAAAATTATAGGATTTTTTTAAAAAACTTTTATGATACAATAAAACTAAATGAAACATTTTCAACATTTTTCATCTAAAAAAAGACTAAAATATTTTCTCCATGTTGAATTCTTAAGTAGAGTACTATTTACTCATGAAAATATGGCTAAATATGGATAAACTAGTATTTTACCCAACCCATTTCTTACCCAATCCATTTTTACCCATATCAAATATGAGCGGGTTGAATTATTACCCATTTTCAACCCGTCCAAAATTTACCCAACCCACCCATTTGCCACCACTAACCCACACTACATTTTATTAGAAGAGAATTTTCTTTGTTCATGTTAAAAGTTTATTTCAATTGTTGAACTCAAATGTCAAACAACGTCGAGTTAATTTCTCAATCATGAAAAAATAAAATGTTATATTCTCTTATAATAACCATTAGCTGAATGGTTATTTAAGAAATTAATATGAAAATATTTTTTCGTCCTCAAAATTTATTGACATAATACATAAATGTGCCCATTTGACTTTAGCTCACATTTATGAGCATCATCTGATTATGAACAAGTAAATACTTAAATTTGTATAAAATTGAACAAGTAAACACGTGAGTCATATGTGACATAATACATATAAATCGCCATGTAGGATTCCTACGTGCGTATTTATTTAACTTCAAATAAATTTACCAGTCTAAATCTAAATGTGTATATAAGTTAAATCCAAATTAAAGAAACATATTTATTATGTCAAAAATTATTTATTCACTTTAAGGTCGTTTGATGTGTAGTAAATATGCAATTTCCCGCAAAGTATTGGGGACGTAAGTGTAGTAATACAGAAAGACGAAGATTATAAATTTATATATACGTAATATATATAAGAAAAGAAATGCAAGCACAACTCGAATACGTAAGAAACAGCTCTGTCACAGATACGAAAAGGATAATAATGGCGACAAGCGGCAGAGATACCCGACGACGTCGTATTGTAGAACGGGGAAATGACCGATTAGCTCTAATTACCGGACGGATCCCAACCCTATCATCGGAAACTGGATCGGAAACGGGATCGGGATCGGAAACTCGCCATTCACACACCGCCTCTTGCCCTACTTGGATAGAAGGAAATCATCTCCCTTCTAACCAATCCTCTCCTGGTACTCTCCTCCTTTCCCCCTTACAATCTGAATTGTTTGCCGCCGTTGGTTAATATTTTGATATCTAAATTTTGTTTCTAGGAGGAATTATTTGCTTTTCCAATTAGAATTTGTAGACTCGAAAACTAGCAATTGATGTATCTGTGCATATATTGGCTCCACTTTTTGCCTGGCTAGTCGTCCTATTGATTATTGGGTTAGGTCAAGGTGGCGATGGTAAGGGTCTCTAGTTCAAATCGTTGAAGTATAGTGTTTTGTTATGTGTACTTTTTCTTAGAAATGAAATTAGTTTATAGCACATCTAGTGAAAAGGTGTTAATATTACTTAGTTTATGTCCAATTTATAAGTTGGTAGTTTGTAAATTTATACTCCTACCATTGATTGGAATGGAATAAGTCAGTGTTATTAAAAGCTCTTGCTTTGTCGCTTAAAGTGATGAAGCAACATGAACCAAGGGAGGATTCATCACATAATGAGAAAGCATCACTCTTTGAAACAATGACTTGCAGAATGTCCCAATGTGAAGTTATTGGTTCTTTAAATTTCAATTTGAAGAGTTGGATTGTTATCTGGATTGTTCTGTATAGGGTGGTGAAATTAGTTATTTTAATTGCAATTTGATTATTGTATGACTACATTCATAGATGTTCGATATTTTTTATGTTCTGTAAATGGAGCCTTTCATCTCAAAGAAGTGTGTGCTTTTAATTGCTTTATTGCTTCAAGCCCCATGAGCCTTACTCTTTTCTTTTTGCTGTTTTCGCTTTTGAAAGTAGTGGTTTTCATCATATACTCCTGCCACACAACATAAAAAAATCCCAGTATTCACTCTAGTATTCTACAGGATAGTGCTAAAATGAGGACTTTCACAAGAGGAAGGGAATTTTCTTATAAGGTTTACATATACAGGAATCTTGTTAGTTTTGCTCAATCTTCCCAGATAACCTGATTTGTAAAGGTTCAATTTGAAAATTGATTTGAAGTGCAACGGAGGCTAAAACACTAGGTGATTTCTTTCCATATGTTCAAGCCTTGATGAATAGAGTTATCTTGGTACCTGTGTTGCTGAGAGGGAGCAGGTACCCTATGGAATTAGTCGAGGTGCACACAAGCTAGTATAGATTCGTTCGCAGCAAAAATACTAAGAAATGTATAAAAAACTATGGTCCAAAGATATATAAGTTCAATAATTGAGAAGCTATCAAAGACATCCAATTAGGGATGGAGGAGTATTTATCTTTCAGTTTGATATTAATAAAGATAACTGATGGTGAGGTTTCCTTTTAAGGCTTATGCTGAGGCTGTCCAACAGAGTAAACGGGGGAGCAGTAATTTAGGAAGAGCCGAGATGAACACCAAGAAAGGAAGCATTTTGATTACTAAGCCAGTAAATATTAAGGAGGAAAATCTCCTCAAGAGATGTCTTATAGGATATTGCACTGCAGGAAAGAAGGAGAAACCAACTCTGGCGGATATCAGGAGCTGGTCCTCAACAAACTGGAAAAAGGTCTTTGGAGTCAACATATATGAATTGAACAGCGAAATGTTCCTTTTCGAATTCCCCAATAGATACATGGCGGAATTGATCATCCAAGGCCAATGGAGGTGGAAGAGTAGCATATTTCATCTAGATTGGTGGAGTCCAACAACAGGTTGCACTCCTAGCCCCTCAACTGTGCGTGAAACTTGGATTAGAGTAGTGGGGATTCCATTGCATTTGTGGTCTAGGAAGGTCTTCCAAGAAATTGGGGATCTGTGTGGAGGTTGGATTGAGACAGAAGAAGAAACTGAGCTAAAAAACCACCTGAAGTGAGCAAGGATTCTGGTGAAAAACAACGGGAGAAACCTTCCGAAAGAGGTCTCTGTCGCTTGTGATGGAATTACATATTTTTTTCCAATTTGGGCAGAAAGCAAACCCAGATTCGAAATAAGGTCGGAAAATGGAGGCATAGTCGCCGGGGAAGATGAGGCCTTTTTGCCCAGGGAATAGATTTACCCAGAGGTCTGATGGCGTAAATAACTGCGACAAAGTACCAAAATCCCATCCTTTTAGGGATTTTAGTACGTCGAAGCACGTGGGCTGTACTTCAACAGCTGGAAAGACAATGGGGAATGGAGCACGTGAGAGGCATGTGAGTTTTAAAATGAGAGGGTTGAACTGGGCCCATCAGGAAAGCCCAAGAAGAATAACAATTCTAAATGGCCCAGTGGCCCTGATTTTGCAGCACATGTCATTTTTAATGATTTACAAGGGACAAAGATCGGCTACACAGAACCCATAAATTGGCTGGTGACATAACAGCCTTGCACGTGTCCAATTCAGGCGAAGGAAAGCAGAACATGAACACAAAAGTCGTGACAGAGCTGCTGGAGGAAGAAATCAGGGGAGATTTGATGATAACGGGAGAGGAAGAACCTAACTCCATAGATAGGGGAGATGATAGAGAAATTACAAAATCAGGGGAGACTGGGCTAGCAATACAGAGCTCAAACACAGAAATAGTTAATTGGGAGGTGGAGGAACCTGTATCAATTATGGTGCAACAACAACAAAGGGCTCAAGATGTAGATAAAGCGAATTCAACATGGGTACAACAGAACTTGATAAAACTGGGGAAAATCTTTGGGATCGATTTCCAAGGGCATGAAGAGGAGGCAACAGAGTTACTGCTACAAATAGACAGTTGCAGACAAGTCAGGAAATTGGAGCAGGATACATAAGTTAAGAAACTCAAGATCAAGGGTGCACAAGAACTTAAAAGTCTTGTAGCCTTTGATGTAAAATTTAAAAGTTCTGGAAGTAGGAATAAGGGGAGGAACACAATTTTCAACACATGATGAAGTTTAAGCTAATATCATGGAATGTTAGGGGATTAAACGATAGGGAGAAGAGAAGGGTTGTACATAGTTTGTTGTCTGGATGGAGAGCAGATATAGTTTGTCTCCAAGAAACAAAAATTGAAGGGGATATTTCAGAGATGGTAAAGCAGATTTGGGGAGGCAGGTGGATTAGATATGCCTGTCTAAAAGCAAGTGGAACAAAATGAGGTATCTTATTGATGTGGGATGCTAGGGCATGGATGGGGGAGGTCTTGGAAATTGGTTCTTACACCATTGTAAATTTGAATCACAAACCCAGAATTCTAGCTGCCATATATCTGGAGTGTATGCTCCTAACTGTTACAAGGAAAGGAGACTTGTATTGGAAGAATTGAGCTCAGTAAGGTGGTTGATGGAGGGACCCTGGCAATGTGTGGGGACTTCAATGTATCTAGGTACATATCTAAGAAGAAGAACTGCAACAGAAGAACTAAGGGAATGAGAGAGTTTTCTGATTTCATAGAGGACATGGAATTAGTTGACATGCAATTAGAAGATGCTGCATACACATGGTTTAAGGGAGATCAACAGGAGGCAGCCTCCAGAATTGATAGAATCATGATTTCTAAAGAATGGGATGATACCTTCAACAATTTGAAACAGATTCCTCTTCAAAGGCTGGGCTCAGATCATATACCAATAGCGTTGATTACTGGTTGCTGGGAGAGGAATAAAAGCTACTTCAAGTTTGAAAATTGGTGGCTGCAGTCAGAAGGATTTGTGGATAGAGTTAGAGAGTGGTGGAGCTCTTTCAGTTACACAGGAAGACCTGATTATGTTTTGGCTTGCAAACTTAAAGCACTGAAACTTAAGCTAAAGGAATGGAAACAAGAAAAGGGTGGAAATCTGGGCAGTCAAAGAAGGAGATTGTTAGAGCAGTTAGCAGAATTAGATACAGAAAGGGTAAATAGAACTCTCACTGTGGAGGAAACGACAAGAAAGGCTGCAGTCTTACTTGAGTATGAAGAGCTAGTCAAGAAAGAGGAAGTTTCATGGAGACAGAAATCAAGAGTACTATGGTTGAAGGAGGGAGACAAGAACACCAAATTCTTCCACAAAATGACAAATGCTCACACGAGATATAACAATATAGATCAACTCATGATACAAGGAGAGGTTACTCAAGAGAAGGCAGAATTGAAAGGGAGATAATAGCATATTATAAGAACCTGTATAGAGAAACACATCAATGGAGACCTCCTTATAATAATGTTGAATGTCCAATGTTGATTGAAGAGGAAAAAATGTCCCTGCAAGGCAGATTTGAGGAGAATGAAGTTCTAAATTGCCTAAAGCTATGTGCAGCCAATAAGGCTTCTGGTCCAGATGGGTACACAATGGGTTTCTTCATCAAGTGTTGGGATGTACTGAAGAAAGACATCATGGACACATTTCAAAACTTTTATGAGCAAGAAGTCTTCGAGAAGAGTTTCAACGCTACCTTCATTGCACTCATTCCAAAGAAAAAAGGAGCCAACGAGTTAAGGGACTACAGACCAATTAGCCTCATAGGGAGCATTTACAAAATACTCTCCAAAGTTCTCGCAGAAAGGTTGAAAGTTGTGATAGACAGACTGGTGGACTCATAGCAAATGGCTTTTATAAAAGGGAGACAAATTATGGATGCAATGTTGATTGCTAATGAAGCTGTAGATTCCAGGATTAAGCAGAAGAAACCTGGCATTCTATGCAAGCTGGACATAGAAAAAGCATATGATCATGTGAATTGGAAGTACCTTCTGAAGATTCTAGAGATGATGGGATTTGGACAAAAATGGTTGAACTGGATTAGCTTCTGCATTTCTACAGTTAGCTTCTCTGTTCTGATTAATGGGTCCCCTGCAGGGTTTTTTCAAACTCAAAGAGGACTCAGGCAGGGTGATCCATTGTCCCCTTTCTTGTTCTTAATTATTATGGAGGGGCTGAATAATATGCTCAAGACAGCAAATATGAGAGGATGGGTAAAAGGTTTTGATGTGGCTAGAGAAACTACAGAAGGCTTCGAGGTGACACATCTTCAGTATGCAAATGATACACTGATCTTTTGTGGAGCTGAGGAAGACCAACTGAAATACTTAAGGGTGATCCTGGTGCTGTTTGTAGGGGTATCTGGGTTGCACATTAATTGGATTAAAAGTTCTATGTATACTATCAATGAGGTCAACAACATAGACTTGTTAGCTTCAATTCTAGGGGGTGAAGTAGGTACTCTACCTACAACATATTTGGGTATGCCATTGGGAGCAAAATCCAAGTCCTTAGAAATTTGGAATGGTGTGATAGAGAAGTGTGAGAAGAAGCTGGCCAGATGGAAAACTCAGTACTTGTCAAGAGGGGGCAGACTGACCCTCATTAACTCAGTCCTGGATGCCCTCCCAACTTACATGCCGTCTCTATTCCCCATCCCACCAGGGATCACTAAAAGACTAGACAACATTAGAATGAAGTTCTTGTGGCAAGGAAACAAAGAGAATAGAGGCTTTCATCTAGTTAAATGGAATGCAGTGACAACTGGAAAGAAGAATGATGGTCTGGGAATATAGAATATGGAGCTACATGGCAAAGCACTCTTAATGAAGTGGTTGTGCAAATACTCAAATGAAAACCAAACACTTTGGAGAAGAGTGATAGGTGCCAAATATGAGAATGAAGATAGTTGGATGACTAAGATTGTGACCACACCTTATGGGATCAGTTTATGGAGATCCATAAGAGCATTATGGGAGGAAGTTAAACCCAAATTCAAGATGAAAGTGGGGAATGGGAACAAGATCAAATTCTGGAAGGATGAATGGCATGAGAAAGGTAACCTGGAAACTCTTTTCCCTGATATTTACAATCTGGCAATGTTCTAACAAAGAACTATTGCAGAACTATGGACACCACAAGGGTGGAATTTCATCTTCAGGAGAGAACCAAATGACTGGGAAGTGATGAGGTTGGCAGAATTCCTCAACTTGGTTGGAAACTTTACTGGACTTCAAGCATATGAGGATATGCTTTGGTGGAAAGGCAACAATAGAGGAGAGTTCAAAGTGCATTCAGCTTACAGGCTGATGGATCAATCAAGCCAGCAGAGTCCCATCTGACCTTGGAAACAAATATGGAAGTGTAGAATCCCACACAAAGTCTCATGCTTTATTTGGCTGCTAGCTAAGGAAGCTGCCCTGACTCAGGATAATGTAATGAAAAGGGGGATAACCTTATGCTCTAGGTGTTTCCTATGTGGGGAAACCTTAGAAACTGTAAACCATCTATTTCTACACTGCAAATACACTCGGCAGCTTTGGAGGATTTTCTTGAGTCTTAAAGGCATATCCTGGACTATGCCTAGGAGAGTTACTAAGGCATTGTACAGCTGGGAGGAGGCAGGTGCCCTTGCAAAAGACAGAACTAGATGGAGAATTATCTCTGCTTCAATATGGTGGGCAATCTGGAAAGAAAGGAATTCCAGATGTTTTGAAGGCATAGAAAATAGTGTGCAAGATGTTAAACTAAACTGCATTTTGTTGTTATGTTTTTGGTGTAATCAATTATACTCAAATGACACTGCCTCCATAGTTGATGTTTTAGACTCAATATTGAAATAGAGTAGGAGTGTCTAGAGTGCATCTGTATATAAGGTTTGAGTACAACCCATGTACTTTTGTGATATAATACATCGTTACCATTTTTTTTTTTAAAAAGGCTGTATAAATGAAGAAGGAGTTTTGAAAATGCATTTAGAGTTGTATCCTTGATTCACAGCTTGACTTAGAAACAATTATAAACCATTGCATATTTGGAGGCTATGATAGTTAGTATCCACTATCTAGGCTTATAAATCAGAAATTGTGATACTGATAAACCAGTTGAGACTTCCATGTTGGAGGTCTCAAGTTCGAAACCCCTTGGCAGCGAAAGCAAGGGGTGGGTCGAGCTCGTCGCATCGGGCTTGCCTAGTACGGGTTACCTCTCCTATGTGGTTTGCGAACTATTGCATAGGAGCGGGGTTTTTACCCTGTGCACACCCAAAAGGGTAGCGGCTCCGGGTTTCCCTTGTCATCCAAAAAAAAAGAAAGAAAAAGAGAGGGAGAGAGGGAGAGAGATCATGACAATTAGACCAGTCTCTTTAGTGATTTCTCCTTGTTGATTTGTTTGAGTTTTTCCTGTGGCTTACATTGATCATAGGGAAGGCTTTTCGATTCTTTGCTTTAAAGAGTCAAAATCAAGGACTAGCCCAGAACTGCGCCTTTCTCAGCCTCAGGCAATCAGTGTCTGCTGTATCTCCACCCTCGCAACAATATGTCCTGTAGATAACCCTGCTCCCAATCATTGAGGAGAAATACCATCATATCATATATGTGAACTTCCTTTACCACAAAAGTTTTGCATTGATCTGATTATAATGATTTTCAGATCTACGTTAGAGAAGATAAAAAAGAGAATCTAAATACACTTCCCAACCCCATCAGTGCTTAGTAGTTGCTTCCTCACATTCCTACAACATCTTTCTTCTTAGCTTGGAGCCTTGGACTATAAACCTGTTGATGAGTCTGCTAGAGGCCTGCTTAATCAGAAATAAAATGTTGCAAGTCGAAGATCTTGGTCCCCAACTTATTCTATAATTGAAAATTTTAAGCGACAGAGGTACCACCTGCCCCCATCTCTGGGGTCAGAAAATCTTGCTATAACCTTTTGTTATAAAATTCAATTTTGTTCAATGGGAAGGAAAGAATATCAAAGGTTGGGGTAAGGTCTGCGTACATCCTACCCTCCCCAGGCCCCATTTGTGGGATTGCACTGGGTATGTTGTTGTTGGGAAGGAAAGAATATGTGAGTTTGTTGAGAGTTAAATGTCATGGCGATGTGGTTTATAGTGCTTGTGTTATTAGCGTTACATTGTTTGCTGCTGTTTTTAGTGCCTATATTGTAAGAGTTAGATTGTATTATTTATAGATCCTAGACTTGCTAACAAATATATTCTCTTAGCTCTGGTTTAAAAAGTAGGCATGTGAAGCATGACATTGGTGCTTTCACATTCTTGTTTGTTTCCTTTTTTGAGAGTGCTTGTACTGTTTCAATTAAGGAGAGTCCTTATTATACTGGTCAATCATTTATTGCTACTTGACATTTGTTATTAAGGAGAGTGCTTATTGTACTTGTCACTCACTTATTGCTACTTCACAGTTTCTATTAGTGGGAACGATGCCGCTAGACCATTGTTGTTTGATGGTGATCATGGAATTGAGCCAGGCGAGCATGAAGAATCTGATGGAAAAAACAGAACTCCATTTATGCGAAAATGTGAGTCAAACATTGAAACATCAAGTGCACCTGCCTTGTATCTTGATGACAAAGAGCAATTGTTTCCGGATTCATCTGCTGTAAATCCTCCATGCCTTTCTGCTTCTGATGGGGGTCAATTTTCAAAACTGAAGAGCAACTATCACAACATTTTCGCCCCAAATAAAATTAGTTCTGCAATTGCAGCTTCCGAGAGTATCCGCCTCAACTTTTCCCTTGTGGCTGCCATTTTGGTTCTTGTGTCCTATAACAGCCACTTCTTCAAGGTGGTCATATTTTTCAGACCTCTTCTGCTACTGATGTTGACCAACATATCGATTGTTATTGCGCGCCTTCTCGCAGAAGAAGCTGGGTCACAGAGGAATCAAAAAGCAGCGGCAAACGGTATCCCTGGCGCTGGTATGGTTGATCAAATTGGAAAGGCTCTGGAGCTGGGATTGTTATTGCAAAGCATTATGGGTGCAGTGTTTATGGATTGTAGTATCTACTCAATAACAGTCGTATGTGGCCTTTCAATAGCACAAAAGCTTGGCTGGTAAATTTTTTCCTGGCTGGAGGATTTTAATAATAGCTGTATCATCTTGATGAATTGTTTTGTCTGTTTTTTCCCCTTGTGTTAGGATACCTTGTGTTGAGAAACATTTTGCTTCTTTTCCTTCTTAATATATCCCCCCCGCCCCCCCCCCCCCGCCCCCCTTTCCAAAGAAAAACAAAAAACACAGAAGGATGTCCAATTTTTTGTAGCTTCACCCGATGTAGATGTTCTCAAGTTTCTAAAGCATTCTTTTCTTGGACTATCCAATTTTATGTGACATTTTTAGTCTTATTTATATTCTATATTAGAAACAACTTACTTTTCAATTATTTTTTTAATTTACAGCTACAGGTTTATTTTAGGACATAAACAAAAAAATTTACTTTTTCTTTAAAAATGTGCGAATTCAAATGAGGACATATAAATTATGACGGGATGGAGTAGTTAATTTTAAATATCAATTTTATTCGTAAATAAAATATTTATAATTATACAAATATCTATAACTTATTTTTAGATAAAAATCTTAATTTTTTTTCTCAGTTTTAAATATTTATGTCTGATGCAAGAATGGAATTTGAGAAGGAAACAAGCCACAAACTAAGCTAAGGTAAGAACTAGGCTAAATTAATCTAAGGATCATTTCATTCAAATCTCCCAAATGAGTACATACAAGGTATTTATACAATGCAAAACTGAACTCTAGACAAACAGAAATGACAATACTACCCTAATAAACTAACTTAGGGTCTTAAAGAAATAGGAATAGAAAATTGGGACTAAAATGTAAAGGATGGAAACTATGAACTCCCTTGGTTCAACTTGCAACAATGTCTAATTTATCCACCTTTCACCTAACTTGTGTCCACAGAGTATATTTTCAGGACTGACATTGTTACCTCATAATGTCTACACCCAGAAAGTAAAAAACTATGGGAATCAAAAACAGATAAGAGTTTTTAATTTAAGATACCTCCATATCAGATTTCTGGAATAAAAAAATGTGTTTTATTGAATTTAAGTGATTAATTATCAAAGTCGTGAGTAGAAAAAAATAATTAATAACCTTAATCAAGTACAAGGCCAATCGAGGTCATTCTGCCTAAAACATTCACTTGAAAATGAACGTCATTTCACAAACTTGTCATTTTTTTTTAGCTTATTCAAATATTATATTCCATATAGTATCTTTTTTTTTCCTGAAGATTATTTCTGGTAAAAAAAATATATCTTTTGCGTATCTAAAATGAATTTAGTAAAACTGGAATCAGATTCCTCCCAAAAAAAAAAAAAATTAAAAAAATGGAGAACCATCCATTCACGTTTCTTCAATTTGCCATGTCACTATTTAATATGGCCCCACAAAGGCCCACTTTCAGACGAAAAGGCGTGTCATCCACGCGACCGCCATAAGCTCGTATATAAAGGCGCTCTTCACCTTCTTCAACTCTCTCAGCACTCAGCAGCCATTGCCAACAAAGAGTGAAGCAAGAAAAAAATGCAATCTTTGCAGCAGAAGGCGTCGGAATGGAGTGGGGTTGACCCGAATGATGCATTCGCCATTGATGAAACCAATCTCTTTGAAAAACTTGGTCTTCAGACTTTCATCAATCTCTCTACCAATTTCTACAACAGGTTCATCCTTCTAATGATTATGTTAAAAAAGAAATGTTTTTTATTGATGGGTTTTCAGTTTCCTTAAATGGGTATTTTACAAAACTTGTTTTTGGTTGAATTGAATTACTATTTGTAATTTGGGTTGGGCTTTCTGTTTGTGTGTCAATCTGAAGGTAAATGAGGTTCATGTGTCTTGTTGCTTTTGTGTGTGGTGGGTGGGATTAGTAAGGATTTATGATTCCTTGATTATATTGACAATTTTGTTCTCTTTTCTTTTATTTCCTTTTTACTGATTGGTAAGGAAGTTCTGTAGGTTTGATTGCTCACTCAACAATTTCTTCTTCTCGAGTAAAGTAGATTACTCTTGCTCTGTGCGCTAGGGAGTCAGACTATGCTTAGTTCTCATTTATGATGTTTGAGCTGTGTGAGTTCTAGCTAGGAAGCAAGCGTGCTAAGGGTTGACAGGGCTGCTCAGCTGATGGTACCGAAGTGGGAGGGTCGTAGGAGCTACTAGTACAATGACCAATCTAATCTTTTTTCTCTACTAGTGCATTGACTAGTTATTATAATTACTTTGTAGAAGCACTGAACTGTATTTGTCCTGTTACATTTGCAAAAGAGGTGTTACAGGGATCCTTGATTTGTTGAATCTTTTGTTGTGTTAGTATATCCTTAGGCGCTAAGGAAACCGATTAGTGATAGAAGTTACTGTGAATAATATAAGCTGAATTCTGAAATTCTGGATTTTGTATTTAGTTTACTTGTTTGGAATGAAGTTGGTGATTATTGTAATTGTTGGATTTGCCTACTTTTTCTCCTCAGATGGCTTACCCTCATGAGGGAAGATATCTTGTTTTTGTTTTAGAAAACTGAGATTAGACTTTATATTTCACTAATACTTGTTCGAAGTTCTCCTTTGGGTGGTTCAAAAATAAGGTTATTGTGCCCTTTTTTTGAGTGTGTGTGGTTGGTTTTTTGGGGTAGGAGGGTGGGCAAGATCTCTCGAATCTTTGTTGTCAAGGAATCAATTGATGGCTTAAACTTACTGTGGATAAGTTGGCAAAGTTGTCTTCATATTACTTATTTGAAATGGAGGTTGATTGATAGAGTTGTGCACTTTTCTCCTCTATGATAGGAGGTCCACAGGTTGCGAATTATGATAGAAGGTTAGTAGATAGTCGAGCATTGTCTTACTTTTCGACGGGATAGGGCTTGATGGTAGTCTAGAGCATCATGTCTATCGTGATATTAGCCTTATTTATGTAGTTTCTGGCTTTTGGTATATGTTATCATCTATTGTTTACTATGGTTAGGTGATCCCACTATGTTGTTGTCACTGTTCCTTGCATGTACTATTAGTTGTCATGTTTTCTTTACTGCCATTTTTCTTTTCCATCATTACTTTGATTTGCTTTACTTGAGCTGAGGGTCTTTCGAAAATAACCTCTCTACATCCACGAGGTAGGGATAAGGTCTACATTCACTCTACCCTCCGTGAGGTAGGGGTAAGGTTTGCATACACTCTATCCTCCACAGACCCCACTTTGAGAGATTTCACTGGGTATGTTGTTGTTGTAATGGTTTACCTTTCTTTAGGGAAGATATTTGACTCTTGTTTCTGAAATTGAAATTAGGGTGTATGATGATGAGGAAGAGTGGTTTCGGTCAATTTTCTCTAATTCAAGTAAAGAAGATGCCATTAGGAATCAATATGAATTCTTTGTACAGAGAATGGGAGGGCCTCCTTTGTACTCAGAGAGAAAAGGCAAGTGTTATCTTGATATTTTATTTTATACCCAGTCTTCTACATCCCCAGTTTCAATTTGCCGAAGGTAGTTACCTGATATAACCGTCTATTGTGATGCTATTTTATGGCGACCTCAATTCTTGAGATTTAATCTATTTTGTCTCATAAACTTTAAACTGAACCTTCAAATTTTTTTATTGAGATTGGAAAGCATAAAGTTAACTTCTTTGATATCTGCGATAAAGATTATTTGTGACCGAAATAATTTTTTTTTAAATCAAAATGGTTCCCTTTTTATAATATTCTTCAAGGTTTATTTGTCCAGAGCATGTGATGTTGGTAACATACCACCTTTGTAGGCTAAGTTTTTCTGACTTTTGAGTGTCCACAACATTTTCTTGATTAATCAATCTGAATAAACACCAAGTCCATGTGAAAAGGAATAGTAACAAAGCTGTGGGAGTGATTTGAACTGAGTCCTTCACCATCCTCTTATAAACTTGGCCAACTAGCAATACGACATAGCATTCTCTCTTTACACCAAAATTGCAAATGAAATAAGAAGGATTCTTTGTATTACTGGATGCCACAACCTTTCGAGAATGAAAATTTGTTGGCATTTTAATTAGTTTAGTAGTGGAGAAAGAAACTGTCAGCAAGCTTGCTTTATAAAATCCCATTTGGAGAGTTTAGAGTGCCTTTGTCCTGTTTCCCAAATTTTTGGTGTACTACAGATGTTTAGGATTTATTAATGCTGATCACTTTTCTGGAGTCTTTGACCTTAAAACACTATTTTGATGACTATTCTCATGCCATCTTGGTGCGTTTATGTTACTTGTGATTTCTCAACAGCAAAGTATTACTAAAGGGAAGGAAAAGAATTATAGGATAGGAAAGTTCAAATAAGTATCAGTTTTGAAACATATTGTAATGACTCTTTCTTTCAGAAAACAGAACAGCTTAAGAGTTCCGTAATTATACCATGAAAACTCCTGTTTACGGATGGCATGACTGGAGATTCTCAGTCTGTTAATAAGTGTCCACTTCTTGATTTATTGATCAAGTCATTAAACATAAAAGGCTTAATACATAAACAAACACTCAAACTTTGCCTCAGTTGGCAAATAAATGCTTCAACTTTGAGTATGCACATCTAGACACCTCAACTTGCTTTGTCTTCACTGTGTCAGTTGGAACACTCCAACTCCTACTTACAAACTGTTCATCGAGACACCTTCAAAATTTATGAGCCACGTCAGTGTCGGGTATCCACAAGACACAGTTGGGACGAGTTTGGAGTGTTTAGTTGCCAATTGAGATCAAGTTGAAGTGTCTAGATGTGCACTCTCAAAGTTTAAGTGTGTACTTGTCAGCTGAGGCCAAGTTTAAGTGTTTGTTTACCTATTATGCCAACATAAAAGGTAGTTTTTTATGCTAGTTATTTCTCTTATTTTTTTCCAAGGCCATTTTCGCTATTGGGAAGGTTAGGCAGTGTATTGGAAGATAAAATATCCATCTTCTTTTATTTTGATTTTTTCGTAGAAAAGAAAGGAACAGATGAGAACTTGTATGTTGGATTAATAAAGGAAATATCTTAGGAGGATTGGGCTAAGTAGATCTCAAGTGGGCCTTCGCCTTTGCTTAGACAGCCTTTCAGGGAAGGCACCAAAACACTAAGACATGAAGCTTAGCTGAGTTGGCCCTCCTGTGCTGTTTTGAAGAGGATGAAAGTAAATAGTAAAAATAGTTTGAGAAGCTATA